GGGGAGTACATTGGAGCACATACAGTTGCATAGAACTAAATGTTTATGCATAATAAAAAATAGTATATCGCCTGCACTTAAGGATGACCTTATTGATGATTTTCGGAACAAGAAATATGCCATCATTATAGATGAGTCTACTGACGTTTCCACTCAAAAGTACTTGTGCATTATAGTTAGTTTTTTCAGTGACAGGAAAAAATAAATATTTACTGGATTTCTTGCTTTAATTTCCTTGCAAGTGGCTACAGGAGAAAACTTATTTAATTTGACTGATAAGGAAATCAAAAGGTGTGGTCAGAGTCTTACAAATTGCATTGGGTTTGTGTCAGATGGCGCTTCAAACATGGTCGGGTGCAAGAACTCGGTATGGTCCAGAATTAAAGATGTGTCTCCTTTTTGTGTACACCTCAGATGTATCTGCCATTCACTAGCACTCTGCATTTGTAGTGCAATTGCCAAGCTGCCATCAGATATTGGTTTCTTACTGACAAAAATACCTCAGTGATTTCGTCATAGTGATTTTAGATGAGAAGCCTATAAAGAACTGTTTAAAGTGATGAACACATCTACGGAGTTTGAATCAGAACGAATTGCTCCTCTTCCATTTGAGAAACTGTCATCTATTAGGTGGCTTGTGCGTGGACAGATTATGTTCAATATGTTGGTGAACTGGGAAGAATTGAAAGCTTATTTCACATGTGCTGAATTAGCACAGACAACGTTTGACATAAAATATAAAGTAAGATTGTTAAAGGAAATGCTGTTAGACCACAATAATTATTTGTACTTTGTGTTTGCGACACCAATTGTACAAGAATTTGAAAGACTGAACAGTCTTTTTCAACAACAACAAAAAAAAGCTAATCCTCATAAAAGTTAGTTGCGTATCCTTTACAGGACGTTGCAGAACCAACCCTAACAGCCCCTGGCTGCTGTGTGGTTTCTCTAGGCAATATACGTCCAGTAGTTTGCCATTGCTTCCTGGACGGTCGGCTTTCTTGATACCGCTGTCGAAACCAACGCAAGGCGCAGTGCCCGCAGCTGGGCTCGAACCTGGCATCCCGGCATTACGAAGCGAAGCGTTCGCATCGACTTAGCCACAGAGCCGACAATCCTCATAAACAACACAAAAAATTGTCCACGCACCAGAAAAGTCTTAAGAACACACTGCATGACGTCAATGAGCAGAAAAAAAAATATTCATCACGTTGACTTTGGTATTAAATTCCTAACGGAATGTAATGCGTTCCTACAGAAGAATAATAGTACTGAAGTTCAGATAGAAATAAACAATGGTAATGAAAGATACATGTCTGTGCTAGAGGAAGCTCTCAATCAAATCACGTGTAGACTTCCCACAGAGAATATATTTCAAAATCTGTCCAAATTGAGCCCTTAGGTAGTTTTAAATCAAATATCAAGGACACAGTTCTCAGAGCTACCATTTTTACACCTGGCAGAAAACATCATCAGTATTAAAGAAGAACAGTACAGAAAATTGATTCTTGTCAACTGGAAAGAAGAAGCTACATTTAAGAACGATGGACTACCTACAAACAGGGAAGATTTTTTGATAGGCGTACTTCGACTCCAGGCATTTAAAGAGTTGGCCACTTTCGCCCTTACTTGCTTAATAATGCCCGTTAGCAATGCTGTAGTTTAGAGAATATTCTGTTACTTCAATTAAATCAAAAGCAAGAAACAAAATACAACTGGATTTTCTTGATGCAGTTGTCAGAATTAGAGCAGAACTATTGATATCAAAGAAATGTTGCAAAGACTTCATTCAATCTAAGAAAATGCTTAATGATTTTACATCCGAAAAGGTTTATGCTGCATCTTCCACTGGTTCCAGTGAGGATGACAGTGAAGAATTCAATCTAGAGCTTTTGATGTGAAGTGAGTACAATGTTACACTTTGTTTGGCAATTTTCTGGCATATTTTGGGTGATCGTTTGGAATAAAATGAAGTTTTTTTATCTGGCAACCCTGCAGACACTGACAATAGGTCAAACATGTCTGCTGTCTACTAGCGAAAGCACGCCATCGTAGCACGATCATGTGCGCTTTTCATGACATCTTTCATTCACGCTGTCCTCGGTAAGTAATATTTTAAAATGCGTGCTCTAGGAGTAGTTAAAGTAAAGTGGCAAGCGGAAAAGAATTGAAGAAAATATTAAGATAGAGTATGTGAAAGTAAGGGCTGTCTAGAACCCAATGGTGTAAAGTAACAAACATTACAATAAATTTGAGATAATGTAACAACTGGATGTAAGAGAAGCAGCTGTTCGAGAAACGAGTCTTCAGTACTTCGTGTAATTCTTTTAGGCGACGACCTTTAGCCGTTGTCTCGCACGTGCATGGCATCCCGGAAGCACATTTTTGCACTCTGCTGCAACAAATACTCTACCGTATAAATCCGCTGTTTGTTTGGCGGACAGAAAAGCAGGAACGGATGTTATGTTACATGAACTAGATCAGTACCACAGTTACGCTAGGGAAAACGCACAAATACAAGAACAGCTAGAGTTCCAGTGTGTTTCCTGGACGTAAAATCGTCGTCTCCCTGCTATATAAGGTTGTGCGCCTGGAAATCTGACCACATATTGCGGACGATAATCACAACAGATGCGCTCTACATCCCAAATTAAAGTCCTTTTATACATCATATCAATCTACATGTCCTTTACAGAACGTCCCTTCTCGTCCATTCGCGACTCATACGGCACGGTCAGCTCGATCAGGATGAGCTGACGTTTCTCTGTAGAGTGTAAGACTATGTCGGGTCGCAGGCCGGTCTTCGGGATAACTCTAGGTACTTTTCGTGACCAGGCAGGTCAACCGCCAGTAGCCAGTCCCTCGCACAGTCAAGCATCGATGGGGCGTGTGCGACCTTGTTGAAGTTACCTTTATAAATCTGCCCAGCCTTAAGAAGCGCACGGGGACAAAGGTAGGACTGGCCCTCGCATTGGTCCTCATCCTAGCTTGATCCACAACGGCCGCTAACTCTTTCAGTACCTCGTTGTGACGCCAAGAGTATCTACCCTCACCTAGGGCTTTTCTGCACGCGGACAATACGTGCTCGAGCGTCTGCTTAGGGTGAAATTAGGCCCAACGCCACAGATGTCTCAGGCTGGAAGAAAGTGTATCACAGAAGCGACCTGGGTTCCAATGGTTCAACGCAGGGTGGTTAACTTCCTGATTTTATATAATACACACACACACACACATATATATATATATATATATATATTCGGCCCTAATTTATATATATATATATATATATATATATATATATATATATATATACATATATACATATATATATATATATATACATATTAGGGCCGAATACGAATAGCTGGACCAACTATTCGGCCGAATACGAATAGTGAATCATCATCATCAGGTGCTTTGCCGACTGGCATGAGCGATTATGCCTTGCCACAATCTGCGATCTCCTGCTGCATGTATTAGTTCGTGTGCTGACACACCTCCATGCCATGCAACAAGATTGTCAAGAATCTTCTCTCGTTGGCTTCCTCTATCCCTCCTTCCACAGATCTTTCCAGTGGTCACCACATGTTCCATTTTACCTTATTTTATAACATGGCCGTAAAATGATGACTGTCTCCTTCTGATGTCTGTGAATAGTTGTCTTCGGGCTCCCGCTTCTTTTGAAACCTCAATGGCTACGTTTTTAAGGCGTTGTTCTGTAAAACCACATCTCTGAAGCCTCAAGAAATGTTTTGACCTACCTACCGATTGTCCAGGACTCAAAGCCATATGTTAAAAATGGATGTATGTAGCAAGCAAGAAAGCATAAAGCTTTAAAAACAAATGGAGGTGTTTTCCAGCTGTACTAAACAGACGTTCATTGGTACGCTCGTAGGTGGTGCACAAAAGTAACGGCTTAACAGATGAACCAAAGTGGGAAATCTCGGGTGTAAAGGTTAAACCACTATTCGTATTTTCGCCCGACCAGAACTGGTGACGCCGAATTACCGAATGTTATTCAGGTCCATTATTCGGCCCCGAAAGAATACCGAAGAAATATTCGGTACAGCCTAAAAAATATATATCCATGTGCAACTTGTTGCTAGCGTAGCTTTGGTTCGTGATGCCTGGCCGACTGATTCTCGCAGTCTGTTAGTTCTTCTCCAACTTGTCATGTTAAGTGCTCTTATATTGTATGCTGACCTTTACGCTGCTTTTCTTTTTCACAACAGAAATCAATCTTATACTCTGGTTCAGAATTGTAGGGTTTTGTGTTCTCTCTTCTAGTCACTGTTCATAAGTTTGTCTTTTACCAATGTCCCGAAGCAACCGATAACATTACCTAACTTCTTCTTCTTCGCGTTCACCAGCTGTACACTCTGGCAGAAAGTTCTGGTTGCTTGTCCACTACTGAACTGCAGTCCTGCTTCAGAACCTGAGTGTTGCGTGTTTATCAGTTTTACAGATCTCATTCACTTGAATACAGACTGTTGGTTCCTCGCCTCTCCGGCAGATGCACTCCGACTTCAAAGGAAGCTCCCCAATTAGTCGACTCTTACGACATGCTTTTGGGTAGGCAGTGGGTCTATTCTTGTTTTCCCAGCAATGGCGCCCCGGAACCCACACGGGGGATTACCTATCTGTAACCCATGACATGCTTTCCCGTGACGTTTTTGGACATCAATAAAACCTTGTTTAGGTGTCTGTCTGTACTCTGAACTATAATTTATAAAATGGACAGCCATATTTTACCACAAAGCGAAAATTGCATACTGTTATAGACAAAGCAACTAATACCCTTTTGCGAAAAAGGAAACAACAAAGAGAAGAAGAATGGGGGAGTATGAACAGAATTTAAAAAAAATTATGTTTTAATAAAGTAAATTGCTAAACATATGACGGCACGGAATACAACATCCAATAATGGCAGTATCAATCTCTCAATCGATGTTACTATTAGCCAACTAAGCACATTATTAAAGCGACAACGAAGCGATTCTCTAGGTCAAGGTTTGAACACATTTAATAGATCTTCCCCAGTTAGGTCGCTGATGAGACCATGGACACACACTCTGGATAAATACTGTACTATTTGGGAGTCTAAATACAGGCTTGAAACATTTACAGCACGGCATTAGTGGCAAACTGCAAACATCAGACATGCATGTCGACCCCCCCCCCCCACCATTTTTTTTCTCTCTCTCAAACACACACGCACTTGTAGGGGCGACGACACAAAGAAAACATAGGTAGGTTGGGGAGGGGCGGGATGCTTCAGTCCCTTACACATTTTCTTGAATAGGGGTAAGTAATTAAACAGTAACATTGTGCTGGGGGGTAAATAATTATAACAACATGTTTTAAATAATAGAGATGCCCGACTCTCTAGCGTAGTTGGCTAAACCAGATTGCGCGGAGACCGGGTGACGAACTCCTTGTGGTCCGGGTTCAATCCCGGGGGTAGGCAGAAAAGCCACATTTTCTCCCAGATTTACGGTATTTACAATGAAATCAAGGCCGAAAGGTTGCGATATCCATAATACCGAGCCTAAGGGTTAACAACTCATGGCTTCTGGATACTAAAACAAACAAACAACAACAAATAATAGAGATAGATAAACACAGGTTTAAACATTTCTATACATGGTGAGAGGGCAGCTTTGCCCCCTTACAGATTTACGGAGGGGTCTCAATGCTCCTAAGTCGCCCTCCCCCCCGGCTGCGGCGCCCCTGCACACAGACGAACGTTGTGCTGTTGTCAAGGACTAGTTTTTATTTAAAATATCTGCAGGGTGGTTGTCACCATCTAATGTAACGATATCTGGCCTTATAAACGCGTCGGTGTACTCCCACAAGGAAAGGCACACGGAGAGAAGGTGAGAATTGTGAAGAAAAAAAAAAGCTAACAATTAAGAATGCTGCCATCTCAAAAGGCCTTTTGAATCAATTTTGTGAGTGTGTGTAGAGGAAAACCAGAGCATGTCAAGCACAATCGAAGTTGCCAGCCAATGAAACACTAATGTCACACTGAACACAATATCCTTTAGTGTGCGAAAGGGGAGACGGTTGGCATGGAAACCAATGTAATTAAAAGCAATGTAATTAGGCAACAGCTCAGTCTGATCATACTCAAATACGTCCCCGCTAATTACTGCACAATGGAACGCAACGCACCCCCTTGTTAACCCAATTCTATGTTAACTTTACAACAACAGATACCATAAGACGAGAGTGCTTTATCGTCAACTAGCATCACTGGAACAGATAGGCGGTGCTAATAAATCTGCTCTACATGCCTTCAACTGTTAATATTGAGTATTACAAGATCAGCTCAAGTAATGGTTTGTGCTGCTTGTCTACGACAGGCAACACTAATGGTACTATGTCAGCCTTACTTTAGATCTAGCATCACTATCCACTACTCCCACAATCAATGACTGCACACAACAGGTACCACAAATACATCACGGTGTCTACAATTGACACTTGTAGGGAAGCAAAGATCAGTAACACTGCACTCTCCTATGCGTGTTGAGAAGAGGTGACTAATGAGGGGTTGTCGTGAAACTAGCTACTTCGTGCCATATAAAACTTTACCTACACGTTCCAACCAATCCTGAATACTTTTATAAATCTGGTGTTCACTGGTTGGAAAAAGAAAAAGCTGCTTGTCCTTTACAAAACGTTTCAGAAATCAAACGTTCTGTAGTTTGCCACTGTACTAAACGGTCGGCTCTCGGTACCACCGTTGAAACCAACGCATTGTGGTCTGCTATTAAATCGTCTTCAGTTGGGATCGAACGTGGCACTGCAGAATTATGAAGCGCGTTCGCAACGCCAATCAGCGTACGCCGACTGATTGAAAGCCGACACTTTAATAGAAGTTGAAAGGTAGTGCAACTAGAATAAAAGTGACACTAGTACAGTATATAAAACCGCACTCAGTATACTTTACACCTCGTACCACTGTACAGGTGGTACCACAATGTACTGCTTCATTGGTGTCTACTGGGAACATGTAGCTTTCTCATCCATCGGGATTTTTAATACTTTTAATTTCTTCTTCTTAAGTTTTCTCACATTTGATATTCAGCACAACTTATGCAAAATGATGATCTGGAGTATTCTGGGAGATTCTGTTCAGAGTTCAAAATGTGCTACTTTATCAAGTCTCACTTATTCGCAGACGGCATATGCTATGTGTTACCATAAATAATCGACCTATCATAATGAACTAATACATTAGATCTACCGGTCTACAACTGACACCACAATGCACAATTGCATTAGATCTATTGGTCTACAACTGACACCACAATGCACCATTACATTAGATCTACCGGTCTACAACTGACACCACAATGCACCATTACATTAGATCTACCGGTCTACAACTGACACCACAATGCACCATTACATTAGATCTATTGGTCTACAACTGACACCACAATGCACCATTACATTAGATCTACCGGTCTACAACTGACACCACAATGCACCATTACAAACGGCTACACAATGTGATTCAGTAAAACCTCGTTAACATGAATTCCAACAGCCTGAAAATAATCATGATTTAAAAAACAATTCATGCTGACGGGGGACTATAAATACATTATAAACATACATCTCTGCTTGTTCTAACATTGTGTTCATGTTAACTGAGTGTTCATCTTAAGCCAGCTGATGTTACCAAGATTTTACTGCATTATATTAGATCTAACAGTCTACAAGAGGCAAAAGAACATGCTACTACGCCGGATCTATCAGTCTACACATCAATGCAATGTGCTATATTACGTTAGATCTACAAGTCTACAATTGGCAACAGCATGTACTACCACCACTTTAGATCTACCAGTCCACAACTGGTACTACCATTTAAGACCTACCAGCCTATAAATGCTTGCATCCTGACCATATCTTAATTGTGTCTGTCCACACATATCTCTAAATCTTTTCCCCTACAGTAGAATTTGCATTCTTTTGATGCAAGCAGAGTACCTTACATCATTAACAGAACTAATCCAAAAACATTAGAAGTAAAAAAAACGCGCAGACATAAGAATAAGCACTTTGGAAAAGTACAAGATGCTGATGGTTACGATATTAGTATCTTGTCTTTACTTCTCATTTTAAAACTCAGCAGAACTGTTTTGCTGCTGAGTTCTTTAGAACTCAACATGTCATTATTTTGTCATCCATGAAGACCAACATTTCAAAAGCCTCCATTTCAAGCTATAAGTCAGGGCAAAAATTTCACTTCATGTAGTAATGTTAAATACACATGTCATTTGGTGAGTATCAATTGTAAATTGGGTGCACCTATTTGAAAAAGAATGTGTGCATTTTCAATACAATTTGTAATGGCGTGTACCTATTTGTATTTGTAATGGGGTGCACCTATTTTTGTATTTGTAATGGGGTGCACCTATTTGAAATAAAGTGAATGTGGGCATTTTCAATACAATCTTTCATTGGGTGCACCTATTTATAATAAAGTGTATGTGTGCATTTTCAATACAGTTTGCAATTTCCATAGTACATTTACTATCTTTTGTTATTGTTTGCCCAAGGTAGGTGGTAGTCTGGTAACTGTTCCAATCATTCGTTATGCACTGTTTGATGTTTTAAAGGTGAAATCTGTGTTAAATTCTAGACTGAATGACCTACATTTATTATTTATTTAATACAGCAGATTCTGCAGCTGTTAAGGAATCAACACACTGGTAATAAACAAAACAGATTGACTTGCAGTCAGAATAGGAATGGATAAATATACAGAAGATGATACTGATAATCCCACAGAGAAGCAGAAGAAAAAATAATCAGGAAAGACAATTACACACCACAGAAGAGATGTGAAGCATAACTGCAGCCAACTCTGAATGTGAAGATAACTGATTTGGTGCCCACTGATAATGAAGCATGGGAACCATTTCTGAAGTCTATCCTATCCTATATGTAAGTTTACATAATTATACTACTCCTTCTAATTACAATTAAAAGCATAATAGCTAGCTCTAGGTCACTTTCTTCAACAGAAGAGTTTCTCGATAAAGGGGTGTACATCAGACCTAGCTATGTGACCAAGACATGTAATATAAACATAACAGTTAATGGAGTCTGTGCATTACCACAGAGATCTACAAATATTGTTACCTTTTCTGTAATGTTTCCATTCTCATCATCTTCACCATTCTGTGCATGTCCTCTTATTTCCTCTGTGCTTTTTTCCATTTGATTAAACATAGTCTGTTCTTCACTGGAAACTTCAAAAAGACTCTTACTGGCTGTGTGTTCTTCAACTAATGGTAGGAGTCCATTATCTGTATCTATAACTTCAGAACTTCCTGCACCTGGCCCTGCAACACTATCATAATGACTATCATTTCTGTTGGTATCACTGTAAGTTAGTTCTGGTCCCTTAATATCCATGCTGGCAAAATAGTGATCGACTGGTGGATTCTCAGGGTTGACACTGGTCAATGGCTCCTCTGTATAGTGGGTTTCATATACCTTATAGTCCCTGTATACAACTGGTACTTCCATAATCTTAGACTGTGAGACTTCTGCTGTCTGCTCAGGCATGCTTGCTCGGTCATCCATTTGAGGTGGCGTGTATGGGTACAAGACCTGGTAAGATATGGTTGGCTCAGCCCGAATGTCACTGTGACCATGATGGTGCTGCTGATGATGATGATGTTCAAGCTGGTGTTCTTGGTGCTGGAAGAATCCTAGCTCTAAAGGTGGAAAGTACTGCTCATCTTTTGGGGCAGAAAGAGGTAGCTTATGCTCCAGTCGAACATTCACCGTCTGCAACACATAGCAGGACATGACAAAACACTAGTAAGCCATACATACATGCAACAAATGCCAGACTTTGAATTATAGTCACATGAATAACTCAAAAAACACAAGGAAACATACATCCTTAGTGATACTGGGATATGTGAATCATCAATCACAGAATGTAGTGAATCATCCTGGACAACTGGTGATGAATAACATTGAAGGTTGAGACTTTAGAGACATGGGACGTAGGTGTTGCCATGCATTTATAAGAGTTTACTTCAATAAGATTAATTTCTCAAAACAAAATACATCAATGAGATTATTAAAGTAAATGTGCAGGGGAACAAATATACAACCTTGAATTGAACCCACCAGAGATGGGAGCAGGAAGTGTGTCCCTTGGCCGTGTCAGAACAAATCTTAATCTCTTAACATAAATGTTTTACAGCCTGTAAGCTAGTGTTTATTCTTAAAACGGTGTGCAACTGGAAAATGTTACACTCAGAGCCTACAGAAAGATCACAGGAAGGGCATTCAAACTGTAAACGAGAAACATAAAAATACAAAATTCTGAACACTACCAGCCAGTGAAGTGTGTAATTCAAAGCAAAAGTTTCAAAAGTATTTTGCATTCAATATGACACAAGAAAATTGTTAGGACAAATACAGCTGTCTGCAGCCTGCTTCAACACAGTATGTGTCCCACATTTGGAAGTTAGGGCAATCAAGGAAGAAAACTGTATTATACAGCCATAGATTATAAACACATAAAAATGGAGCCCCAAATTTCCAAACTAAATAAACGCTTAACTGAAGCAAAAAGTGTACTCTGATAAATCTACATGCTACTAGTTTTAAAAAATTTGCTATATTATTATTTGCTTTGTTTTCTGTAAGTGATTTTTTTTCCTAAAGATATACTATTTCCCACCTTAGGAACCATTTGACTTCAAAGCAGAAATATTGAGGGTTGCAAATGGAGCATTCTGAGTACTCACTGAGCAACAACAAAAAAATGATATCCAGAACACTGTTGGTTTGGTTTATAAAGGATCACTTTTGCTGCACACGGATACTTACATAAGTGCACCAGTTTCCTCCCAGAGAACACAATAAAATAATCTGCACATACTGCTCACACTCTGTAGAACACACCACCCACACACACACAAAATTCCAATTACAGTCTTTATTATACGACTTGTGCCATCTTTTCCATGGTGATTCTTGTTCTAATCTCTGCAAGGCATCTTGCATGAGATGTTATGACTTTTCCTACATAGTGGTATTTACAACTGCTGCAGAATTTTGCCATCTGTGTGTATTTCACACTTTGGTTTTTCTTTCTTCTTGATCATCATAATTTAAATTTTCTTGCAATTTAATTTCTCACTGTTAACTATTACTGCAGCCATTAAACAATGCCGATACCCTTCACTGTCCACACTTAACAATGTATAATCCGCATATCTTATATTATTGATTTTACATCCTCACACGTTAATTCCCTTCATGTCTTTTAGACTTCACATAATATTTTTGCTATTGAAGGAAACAATACCTGGAGACATTAAACATCCCTATCACACACCGCTCTGGACGGGTTGGTACAGACCTACTTCATTATCAAATCTTATAACAGTGTGTTGCTTCCAATATATGTTTTTAATCAGTCTAAGGTTTTTCCCAACAGTTTGTAGATTTGTAAGCATTTTTGTCAGGTCGATGTGTCTTAATCAACAGTCTTTGTGTTATCAATAAAGCAAAGAAAAAGATCTTTATTTACTTCTATTAAACGTTCTCATTATGTTCTGAGGGGATATATGACATTTGTTGTATTCTTGTACTTTTACCCACAAAATGATACAAATGGATAAATGTAATTGATGGAGCTCATGCCATACTAACGAAAATAAGTATTACAACAAGTGTGTAGGTAGAAAGTTTGGGAAGTAGCAAAAAACACAGACCAAATAATTTGTACAAGCAAGAACTGTATATGATATAAATAAACCCAGAACAATGAAGCAGATGCAAGAGCAAAACATTTGTGACTCACACGATCTGACTTCTACTCTAACCTTTTAATATTTTGTATAATTCTTCCTATGCAAACGTTTTCCTCTGTCTGATGTGAGTACAAACAATTCCTGGTACATGAGTGGAAATAATCACATGTATACATATATAGCTTTCAGAGGCCAAATACAAAGTGGAAGCAGTCACAGCAGAAGCAGGATATTGTAGTATGCTTTCACCAAATCAAGCATTGCTTGGAAATATTTTAAAAATCTGTGTGTAGAAATAATACAAGATCTAGGTACCCATTCATGCAATACAGTTGGTCTATGGAATGCTCAATCTAACATGGAAGTTAGGCAACATAGTAAACACAAGCATCTCCTTAAGTGTTAGGTTAGCAAAACTACATGCATCCTATTAGTTCATCTACATGCACAATACCTAGCAACACTGTGAGATTACTGACTGGGTCAATACAAATGACATGTCTGTTAGCCACACACTACTTCAGCCAAACTAATATTACTGACACTTATTAGTATCACAACTCAGCGCCATATTAATACATAACAAAACACCTTACTTTTTCTTTTGGTGGCTGGAGTTTTACAGATGGAAATAGTAATGATAAGTTTCTATTCTCTAGTGTCTACTTTCAAATGTGCAGACGTTTGCATGTATATGATAGTTATAGGAAAAACGTTTCAATCACAAGTATTAAAATTAAATCAAAAACAGACTGTGTACACATGCAAGAATAATTTGATGCAGCAAAAGTAAGTAAAGCAAAGGTCACTTTTCCACACCTTTAGGCGTACAGGGCATACAGGGCTAGACCAATATTTTTGTAGACCAATCGGCACAAGATGTGTGACGTGGTCAACATCACGCCGGCCGCCTTTACTTTCCCGGGACTGCACCTGGTACCCACTCAAGGTACCGCACACCAGCATCTAGCCACTGCGCCATGGCGACTCCCATTTTAAGCAGTAGATATATAAAATAATAAAATGGTACTCTAACAGCAACCATCGGTCCTGTATTCTCACTACTTCAATTCCTACTACAAAGAAATAAGTTCAAACTACATAACCAATAGCAATTTTTTGCTGTAACTGCTACAGGTGTCAAGGTTTTGTTTATTAAATGTTGAACAGTTTAGTTTACCGCCATATCATAACTTAAGACAGCTTCCACATTTTACGTGTCCAAAACCAGAAACAAGGAACAATCACTTTAGAGTTTGGAAACTTATAATAACTCCACCATGCATCAAACTAAATATCTTAAAAGAAAAGTGTTGACTTTTGTTGCATGATAGTAAAAGACAGCAAATCTACTTTTGAAAAACCTGCTCTAAAGCACATTTTCTAATTTTTATGTGTTATAAGTCCATACTTGGAAACTGCTTTATTTTTGGTTTCGGGGAATATTATTTCATATTCTCATTCTTTCTGCATGCATATGAATTCAGGTAATGCTTGCTTGAGAAATCATTACATTACTTTAGTGATTCTGTATCAAAAAATTCTTTTTAAAACCAAGGACAGAAAAATGTGGGCATTTGGCTGTTAAGTATAGGATTTGTCCCAATGCTGATTCTACACAAATCTTTTCTTTTCAGGATCCTTAAATCTCATTTTTTTTTCCTGCTTGCTGCTTGGTCCTGCTTTATCATCTGTTTTAGACAGGTTGCAGAAACATAAACAGGCAGCCTTCAGTTACTTTAGAGAATATTAGGCTTAGCTGCTTTTGCTCAACTACAATACCATATTCTAAATTGTTTAAAACTGTTATCAGATCTTTGTTCCATGTCCTTTTTACATTTTTACATACTTTGCCTTGACCTTTTCTGATTTCTCTCGGGTGGTCTTTTCCATGTAATTGGTCTTTCAAAGATAATATCTAGGCAGTTAGAATTGTTCATTTAACACTAGCCTAGAATACTTTTAACAAACTCTCCTATTGGGACACAGGTCCAATTTCACTGGTTTGCATTTTGAAATAAAAAAATTTTTTTTTTTTAATTATTAAATGCTGAGATGGTTTGGCCACCTGACGAGAATGCCCTGGTACCAACTGCCACAGAGAATTATGCTAGAGAAATATAACGAACACAGAGCAAGGGGAAGACCATGCAGAGATGCAGTGACATCATCAGGAACAACCTAACAAAAATGAATACCAATTTTCACTGGAAAAAGTGCACATAATGATCCTTACACAACCCCCCCCCCCCCCCCCCCACACCTCGCTGAGGTAAATGGTGGAAGAGAAGAAGAATGCTGAGATATTTGACTTCTAGCTAGTAAATCCATAATTTTCTACAAATCAGATTCAAATACCTATCTGTGTTCCTCTTCCAATACTGTTTCTGAGTGCTGTTAATAACATCTACTACTATGGTGAAATACCATCTGAAGTGAACTGATAGGTGGAAAGAGAAGGGAAAAAAAAAGGGGGGGGGGGGTATTTCTTTTATTTAGTTACTGCTAAAGAGACTTGCCCTCAGATTAAACCCTGCCCATTATCAAAATAAAGAGCTTTGCCGTTGACACCATCTGCTTGTCAATCACCAACTCAAGCTGCATACAAGATGGGTGAGATGAACCTATTATTTTCTGTCACTAACTGCTACTCTATAACCACTGACCATTACAGGAGTTGCTGTTGATGTGCCACACTTATCTATACATGAATGCCTTGTGATGGGATGTCAGCTAATCATGAACTGCTAACAAGATGCTCCAGCTGTATATTCAGGCAGCCAAATAAAAGCCTGTGGGATCTAATCAGTCACTAATAAGATGTTTCTTGTGCCCTAGTTCAGGTGAAACAAGAATGCACAAACTAATGGCTGACACTAAACACTGGCCCTCTCTTGTAAATCAGGCAAGTGTTAAATCTACACCACAGCAGGGTGTTACTTGAATCTACAGCCTAAGACTGA